TTAAGAGAAATTTCATATTGATTTCACTTGTTGGAGATTTTGGTGCTTAGATTAATATAGTCCCTCAATTAGCTCAGTGTTGCCTTGTCTTTCTTTCAATATTGCTGATGATGTGTATGCTTTACTTTATACTTTATATGAGATCCACTTATATAACTACTCTAGGTCAACTTTACTATTAAACATTAGTACTTTGGTGAATGGTTAAGGTCTTTGGTGTATGCCCACTCTGTTTACCATTCTACTGTAAGAGCTTTCTCCTATTAAGAGGGAGAGCTCAAATTTTGAATTTGCCCACAAGCCTTGTTCTTCTTCCTTTAAATGTGATGCTGCTTTTTTGTGCACAGCAGAGGGAACATTGGGCTGGTGGTTAGGGATTCTGACTCACTGACACTAGTTAGACATGTGATCCAAGTAACCCCTTTAACCGCCTAGTTCTCTTATCTATAAACTGGGATTGTAAAAATAATATACCACTAGGATTATTCTCAGCATCAAAAGAACTAGCTAGGAGAGCTGTGTGGTAGTGTGCCCCTGTAGTCCCAGGCCTTGGGAGGCTCAGGCAGGAGGATAACTTGAACCTAGGAGTGAAGGACAGCCTGGGCAACATAGTGAGACCCCATATTAATAAAACAAAACAAACAAAACCCCCCACTAAATTTAAAAAGAGCTAATCTTTTGGTGAAAGGCATTACTTACTACCCTTATTGCTTATTATAATGATGGAATAAAGATGGCTTTTGTTCTTTTTCCATCAGACTTTGCAGGGACTACAAGTTGCCATTAGGTAGAGGGGAGGGACATGGAGACTTGGAATGGCATTTGGGCTCCGGGGTAAGTGCACTTTTGGTGTAGGCTATGTGTAGAATCAGTAAAGGTCCAGGTCTCTAGTAATTCTGAGGCATGCTGAGTCTGTAAACTTACAATGCTTTCAGAAGCAGTTCTGTGAAGCATACCTTTCTGAAGAATAAGTGACTTCAAAACCTGTTGAGCCTTGACTACATTGGAGCTCTGGCCCCGGAAATTTTAATCTGTTACTTGCCCAGCCCTGCTCACTATTTCTGATGATGATTCATTAGAACGTTTCTGCTGAAGGTGTAATAGTTTGGTAACTTTTTATTCCCCAAATCAATTTTTCCTTTCCTCTAAAAGCTAGTAAAACTGATGGCAAATATAAATGAAAGATCAGATAGGTATTTGAATATCCAATATTTGCTAACCGTTTTAAAGGACTGAAGAGGCTTGTTCAGAGGGGTACAGTGCTTCATGCTTTCACGTGGATGATGAGGGAACACGTTATCCACATTTATTATTTACTCTTGGCATTGAAAGAAAAGTCAATTCAGCAAACACGTGTTCTCACTCCATACTCCACACCAGTGCTAGGTCTAAGCTACAGATTTGAATAAGACGTTCTTCCTGTTCTCAGGGACCTTAGCAAGTAGTCTAGGAGACCTGTGGAATTAGTTGGTGGCAGAAGCAGGCGTGTGGGGTGAGCGCAAGGCAAGGGGTGGACCTCACAGGGAAGGGTGCCCTGGCAGGAGAGGCTCAACATCCTTAGGATTGTCAGCAGCACTTCTGAAATTTAATGTGTGTTTTCATTATCTGGGGACCTTGTTAAAATGCAGGTTATGGATCAGTAGACCTAGAGTGGAGCTGTAAGTGTGTCCTAGCAAGGATTTATGAGAGAATTATCAGCTGACCCTGTATTCACAGGGCAGAAATGGGAACTGGGTGAGGGAGCCCAGTTCAGTCACACAGAGGGCATAAGAGGAGAATAGAGTAGAATGACCTGGAAAAAGACAAATAAGGGTGTGTGTGTGTGTGTGTGTATGTGTATGTGTGTATGTAGAGGGCAGGGGAACAAGGGAACAGCACTTGGTAGAAACCAATCCTAGGACTCCCTTTTATGCACTTAAATATTAATTAAGAGAATTTAAAATGTCAGCATATTGTAGATAGTGGGAAATCCCAAACTTTAGCTTGGGGTCATGACCTTAATTTTCATGTTCAGGAGATAAAGGTGATAGAGTTGGAAGTGATGGAAGGATAGAAATGGTGTGCTCAACCAAGTGTAATAACACATGGTGTATCTGTATCCTGATGTCAGAACACTGGGTTGAATGGAGCAGAGCAAACACTGATATACAAGAACACTATGGGGTGAGGCTGGTGATGGGGAGGCTTCCTGTTGGAGGCTTCAGATGCCTGACCTAAGGAGCTGGGTTTTTTTTTTCTCCATTAAGATGTGATTTTTATTACTGAAATCCCTAAGATAAGGGAATGAGCATGATTTTACTCACTTGTGGTGCCATTAGTAAAACATGACAATATTTTCTTCAAAGGTCTTTTTCTACCCTTGGTGTCCTTGGTGATACTAGTAGCATAGAGTGACCGATGGTATGGGGATCTGAGGAAAAAACACCATTGCAATGTTTTGGGCTTGTGAAAAAGGAAAAGTGGAGCTAGAATCTAGCATATACAGATGGGAGTTGAAACACCCAAAAAGGAATTTAAAACCTGAGTGGCACTGGGATCCAGGTGGGTGGTGCTGCAGGTGAGAATTTGGGATTCATCTGTGTAAGGCATGGAGTAAAGTAAATAAAAGAGACTCTTTAAGAAAATGAGTTTGAAGAGAGTTGTGATCAAAGACTTGAGCTTGGGCTGTGCTTGTGCCTTTCGTAGTAGGTCTGAGCATATGCATGGTGTGCCTTCAAAGATGTCTGAGGATAGGAAACATGCATATTTCACAAGTAAGTGGAAACTTGCCACAAGGAAGAGTTTAGAAAGTGTGGTGTGGTATGTTTGGCAAGCTGGTGAGTAAAGATGAAGAGGTGGATCTTAAAAATACTAATAATGTAGCACCACCTGGTGTTAGGCATTAGGCATTTTCCAAATGAATTTTTTTCTCAGATCAAATTGGTGTTTCTGTTTTGGTTGCTTTAAAATTTTTCACTTTTATAGTTTATTTGGTAGCCTAACATGTGCATTGAGTCATTTATTTTTGTATTAATGTACAGAGGGGGTTCATATCAATTTGTTTCTGCTTTGATTTCAACTTTGCTGAAAGCTTTCTCACAAGATTCTCTGATCTGTTTTCTACTTCAGAGAGGACGCGTGCACGTCAGTTACTTCAGGGTGCAGGGTTACAGCCACACTTCTCATAGCCTGATTGCCTCCTCATTTATGCTCTTCTGTCTCTAAAGCCTTGAAAATAAAAAGCCTGGGTGAAGTTTTCATCCTTCATCTGGAGTTACATGATCCTGAATATTCATTTTGTATTCTGACTCTGCAGATAGTGAAGAAGTTTGAGTTTACAAAACCGAATGTGCCAGCTTTCAAAATGAAATGTGCTTTTTTTCTTTTTTCTTTTTTTAAATCCCAAGGAAAACCTACATGCTTGAAATCTGCACAGCCATCTTGGGTGAACTTGCCTAGGCCACTTCCCAAATCCAAGGCATCTGTGAAAAGTTCTGTGCTGCGGAGGACAGGAAGCAGCCGGTCCATTGCCAGCACCCACAGTGATCTGAGCACCTACAGCACTAATTGTAAGTTGCTCTCGTGTCAAAATTGGGGGGTGGTTGGAACAGTATTTATATATTTTTCAAAAACAATGCTCTATAAACAAGTAGTAGAATTTTTGATTCTGTATTTAGGAGAAAATATGCATAATGCTTCTTTGGAATTGTTCAGAAAGTTTGGCAGGGAGTATGAATTCTTTATTAAACATTCTCTGTTGATGAATGTGCTTTGAAGCACTGAAATGATGATGTGTTGAGGCACCTGTTGTGTTTTTTCATGAAGGAGTCTGAAAAGCATCATTTCAGTCAGTGGTATTTTGGGGTTTAACAAAAGAATAGCAATGTAGAGGCTCTTGGAACCCAAGTGGAGCTCAGAGAGATTGTAAAAGACTTTCTTGTAGATGTATTTTGTATAGCTTTTACTTTAGATGCTAGATTCATGCAGTATAACTAATATGCTGTAACTTCAAGCCTAATTCTAAATAATTGAAATAGAGCATATTTTTAAAGTTCTTCTGTTTTCTGTGTAAAAAGTTAATTAGTAAAGCAAATTAATTAAGCTTTCCTTTTCATTTGAAAAATGTAATGGATTCAGCACTTATTTTTTCATTTCCTCCTCAAATTAACTCACAAAATAATTTGTGAACTAATTCAGACCCTCTTGGAGTGCCTACTCTGCCCAGACCCCATCATGATAGGTGTAGTGAGGAATACAGGATATCAATGAAACGGTCCTTACTGTAACACGTAGTTGAGGAGACCCATACATGTATACTGTGTCACAATACATTCTATTGTCATGTATAACTAAAATGAACAAATTTTAAAAAGTAATTGAGGAGAAAGAAGACATTTACATTTGTGATCAAAATATCAGGTAAAACAAGATACAAACATGTGGGGAGGAGTGGAGGATTCTCTCCCTTTTAAGACCAATTCAGTTTCTTCTTTTTGGTGAGGAGATAAGGACAAAGTGGAATAATGCTTATTGAATCTTTCTGAATATAAAATAGTAGCAGGGCTACTATACATTATTTCATATTTTTCTCTCAAATGACGTCCGTTATCTTGTTTTTATATATGAAATAGTTGAAGCTCAGAGATGTTGTTACAGGTCCAAAGTCACACAGCAGGTATGTGACAGAATGGTTTATGAAGGATCAGTCATTGAGATAATGACAGCACATTTCTGACAAGTCACTTAAACAGCAGTAGCTGGTCTCATACACAAATTTAAGTAGCAGCAAATGAACACATTAGCAATACTGGAATATGTTATCTAAATCTTAACAGGATTATGATCTATTTATTAGTTGAATTTGGGGTAAACATCAGAAGGGTTTGCATGCAACCGATTATTCTCAGAATTTGAAAAGGTAATTCACACGTGTATTATTTTAAGATTATTTCCCTTCCAGCCTTCTTTGTTCTACAGTGTGAATTTTAAAAACAAACTGCCAAAACAGAATCACCAAGTACCTGCAGAGATAGGGTTTGTGACACTGGACTGGAAGCAGATGCATTTTCTAGTGCTGTCACCCAGCGTTTTCCATCGACAGCCATGTTGGCTTGGACACTGCCTCAGGACCATGTCTGACACTCCTAAGGAGGCTGTAAAATGCTTTTGTCATTCCTTTTTGTCTGTTAACAAAGGGGTTCACCATACACCCACAGAGCTGTCTAGTGGCAATGTGTCTCTGTTGCAGATTAAGCATTCAAATCAGTGAGTCTCTTTCTTAGTTTGATTTGCTAGCTGGTTTAATCTGTTTTGTGTAGTGCCTTGGAGCGCACAGATTTTTTTTTTTTTTTCTCCCCTCCATTCTAATTCACTAAGAGCAAGCATGAGGGACACGAGAGTGAGCATGGCTGCAGTTTTTCCTGATTGAGCTTGCTTTGATCCTTTTAAATGACTGTACCAGGAGGATTTCGCAGTTGTACAGAAACTGATATTTCTTCAAAAATCTTTATCAATTCTTCACTCACCCCACCGGCTGGTTCAGAGAGGCACTATGATGCTACCTTATTGACACTGCTGGTCGTGGGATCCTACAGCCTTTGTATAATCCCTTTGTTAGCCACGTTTACTGGGAAAAGAAGTAGGTCGATGATTTCTGGTTTGATTCTTTTCTTTGTAAGCATGCTTGAATTTCTATTCAATAAATTGGTCTTAGGACCTCTTGATTGTTATCTTTGTAACTTGTAATTTGTGTTAACTATAGTATTTCTTAGGCATATTTAAATATATTTAAGATGTGAATACTTCTGTATAGAACAAATTTCATTGTATATTTTGTGTATTTTGAGATTCTTATTAAATGTAATTTAGAAGCATTGTCAGTATTCTTGGCATATAAAATGATGCTATTCTCAAAGACTATTTGATAGTTTAATTTCTTATTAGTAGCTTTTGTATATGTAGTTTGTGGTTGTACAAATATAGAAAAATACTTCACTACAATTATAATTGAAACATCACATCTTTGATTAATTTCTTCAATTATAATTAACACGTGTTTCATATAAAAGTACTAAATGTGCAAATTTTTAAAGACTACCTCAAGATATGCAAAAACTAATTTTGATTTGGAATTTTCCTGCTTCTCAAAATGGAGGGTCATGTTAGGAAATAATCTATTGATTAATGTTTTGATTCTTATTGGCTTAAGCATTTGAACCCTTTTAAAGGATGTTGTTTTTTTGCTTTGTTCATTTCTTTGTGATGTGACAAATGGTGGCAGCATCATTTAAGAACTTCTGAGGTGTAGTGTAGTGCTATTGTGAAATTAGCATCTAGTCCTCAGTACTTTGGGACCCTATAGAAATAACATAAATGAATGAAGATGTGTGTAAGACAATAATTTTTCTTATTTCAGAGTTTTGGCAGGCATTTTATATGTGTACGTTTTTAAACATAGAAAGATTGAAAGTCATGAAGATGGTTTCCTTTGGATATTAGCATAAAACATTGCACAATAGTTTCTATAACCAGACACACTCATTTATTGAGGTTAAATATCATAAGCTCTTTTTAGAGTCAGGTACCTAGCATCCAGTTTTTAAGACCTTTAAAGTAATTGGATAAGGATAAATGATATATTCTGGGTATTGAATACAGTTGAAGGTTTATAGAGCATTGTGCAATTTAGGTCTTGAGAGAGTGTACAATTTTGCCACATTGGCAGGAATCTGAAGTCCAGAGACTTCCTTCCCTTTTCACTTCGGCCACAAAAGCATGTTTATTTTTGAGGGCAGATGGTGCAGGGCAGTGTATGAGATGCAGACTGAAGCTGTTTGCATTCTCTTGGAAATAGATCAGAAGACTAAATAAAGAAATAGGTGTTCTTTTCTATCACCTTTATGGCTAGCCCTGGCTGTCTGGATGCGGGGTAGGGGTGGCACATAGAAAAGGACACTCACCTCAAGCTCATCCTAGTTTTCCTGCCAGTTCTGGTGAAGTTGGATGATCATTCTCTTTGCCTCAGTCTTCTCATCTGAGGAATGAGAGGGGAAGGGCTAGATCATCTTCAGAAGCCATTCGCAGCGAATGTCTGACTGACTTTATTCCCTTCATTGCAATAAGAGGGTGCCTGATAGTTTGGAAGGAGGGTGTTCTGAGTTGTTCAGGTGATTAAGCCGGTAGAGAGAAGGAGTCTTGTTTACCCTGTTTTTTGTTTGGTTGTCATGGCAGGAAAATGGCAAGTGAGTATGAACTTGCCCACCAACATTGGTCAGTTGATAAGAATCTCCAGGAAGTGCAATGCTGCCACTTTCTCAGGCTGCTTCCAGGCTCTGAGGGGAAGCTTTGTTTGACTAGTAATGTCTGCCATAGGTGACGAGGCTGGGAGAGGCAGCCAGCTCTGCATCACAAGCTACATTTCTACTTATGCACTTATGTGTGGACTGTTTAATATGGAAATTTAATCCAGAACACTTTTTTGTTCCCCTTGTTTTTCTGATGTATATGTGAGACATTCTCATTACTACAAAGTTGAATATTTTGCTTTTGAAATCCTAAAGCTTAGGTTTTCAGTAGTGATTTGATTTTAAGCCAGGCGGGCAGATGATCTGGCACAGTGGGGAGTGTGAAACTGATTCACAAAAAAATTCAAGAAATGAACAGAAGGTTGGCTCTGTGTGTATATACATAATTCAGTAAACAAAAAACCACACTAATTTCAAATATATGCTAGAATGTAGTTAATTTACACATAAACTGGACTGATAAGTTTTTGTTATTTTTGTTGTTTGGTTGCTTTGCAGTGCTGGGAATCAAACTGAGGGTCTTGTGCATGCTAGGCTGATCTACAGTCCCAGCCCCTGTTAAATCCTTTTTCTAAAAGTAAAATTATTTCTTCTGCTTAGACTTTGAGAAGATTGTTTCATTTTCTTTTTTGATTGTTTTTTCTCTCTCTCTCTCTCATTTCATGTGAAGCACATTTTGCCTTGGGGAAATGAAAATAAATATTCCAGAGTCCATTACTTCAGCATAATTTAGATAGGACTAAAGATGACAACATAATTCTAAAACTACATATTAGAGCTGAGACCTGAGTGATCACATGTAGAATTCACATATTGAATCCACAGTTCAAGTGTCCTGGGGTGGTCAAGGCCCCAGGAGCACTGTGCTAGGATGATTCTGAGGATGCATCTGGCCTTCATAGGTCTGAGTACCATGATGGGTTGGTGGGTCCATGTGTTATAGCACAGGGAGGCAGTGGCCAAGTCAGGACCAGAGCTTGAATATCCCAGCTCCTGGTTCCATTGCTTGAACATTGGTTATGTTTCTCTTACTATATCATTGCCACCAAAGAGTTCATCATCTGGGAATAATAACTCTGGATGAGGAAATGTTTAGATAGCATCAGGATACCATGCTGTCATGTTAGGAACCAAAACAGAAAGTAGGAGAAATATTTTAAGGGCATCATGCCTCATCCTTCAAGATGGCATTGACTAAAAAGCAAGAGCCAGCTGGAGTAGAATGTTTTGAGAATTGAAAGGTATTTGGGTGTTGGGTCATAAAAGTATGTTCGGGGTAACAATTTGCCTCACTAAGTGGGATGCATATATAATGGATCACCATACAGTATATATGTATATTTTTACCTAAATATGTAAGTAAGCCATAAAGATACAAATGTGTTTGTATCTGAGTAAGATGCAGACATTTTATGCTTGAAATATGAGTTTTAATTCTTGTATGTCCCAAAGCTGATGAGGGATCTGGTGCTAGGGGATGTTGTATTGAGCTTGTTTTGCATATGATAGAGAATTAGCAGACATGAATGTCACACCTCATGACAAATATGTCCTTTGCTTCAGTAAGAAATATTTTTACTAAATTCTTTTGCAAAGTGCAGGTCTAAAGCTTAGAAAAGAAAAGCATGAATGCAGAATCATACAGTTTTATATTATTTTCATAAATTTAATGGAACACGTGGCTTGATTTGTTTGCTGCTAAATATAACAAAAATTGCTTACAGAAAAGCAAGACTAAAATCCTAATTGTTATTAATCATGGTTAAGATTCTAATAACATCATTTTCTTCCTTTATTGGATTCAATTTTACAAAAACTGGAATGCTCATTGAAGCCTGATAACCATTTTATTAGAAAATAACCTATGAAATTTTGAGTCTGTCATTTTAAGACTATAACATTCCCTGTACATCTACTAGAAAATGATGTTGAATTTTACAGTAGTAGCACCTTTAGGTCTGTCATTTCCCTTAGCTTCCTGTCAACTTTTGGAAAAACAGGCTCTAGGTGCTGGGGAAGGTGAGAATTAGAGAAAAGGTCAGGAAAGTGACAGCAGCTTGTTAGCAGGAGGGAAGGCTCTGAGTGATTTGACCTAATATTAGAAAAGTTATCTGTGCACAAGAAGAATTCACAGATGGCTTATTGTACAAGAATTGGATGAGGATCAGGGGAGCATAATTGCTTGGTTTTTTTTTTTTTTTTTTTTTTTAACAATTAGGATAGTTTTTCCAGTGTAACAGTTATGAGCACTATTGTAGGAATTAGGATAGTTTTGCCTACAAAAACTTTCTAGCTATCTTCACATTGATAATGTATTTGTAAACAAGGTAAACATCTTAACCTTTGCTGAAAGTGTAAGGTGAGGGAAGGCATCAAAGAGGTAATTAAGAAATGTGTTAACATAGGGCCGAATAGCAGAGTAGCATTAGATGTTGAAAATTATTTAAAAACAATAAAAAATCGGGCTGGGGTTGTGGCTCAGTGGTTCAGCGCTTGCCTCGCATGCAGAGGCACTGGGTTTGATCCTCAGCACCACATAAATAAATAAAATAAAAATATTGTGTTTATCTACAACTAAAACAAATTTAAAAAATAAAAATAAAAAATCAAGTCTATTGGTAGAGGAGAAACTTTTCCATGTAATATAGAAGGTGATTTTTATTTAGGTCAGAGTCCCTTTGATCTTTTTTGCTTTGGGGCTAGGCATCTTTATAAGAAGTCAGCTGTTGGCATTTCAGATTCTTGCTGCAGCAACAAGGGATCATAACCAGATCTCATGTTGGAATTTAGAGTTTTGTCTGATTGTTCTTGTGTCATTAATGTAGCTGGCTAGCTGTACTCTGCCTTGTACCTGTGGAGATGTATGCTTCTCCTGTCTGCACCTTGGGCATGATTGTTACATAGCATGTGTAGCCATAGGATCTACCTCCCAATTTTTATCTGGGATGAAGGTTGAACTGTACAAGATGCATAAACTTGGATAATGTCAGGCAAGCCAGAATGTATGGTCACACTGGTTATAGCATTACTTTGTGTCCTTGAAGATACAAGATTGAAAACATGAACCCCCTTTGTATATCCAACACTCAGTAATGACCGGCACATTATAGGTGCTCAATGAGCATTTGTTGATTCAAGGAAGGAGGAGTAACTGTGAAAGATTGATACTTTATTTACTTATGAAAAGTACTTTTCTATTTTATTACAGCTGGTAATGCTGCTGCCATCAAGTATGAGGAGAAACCTCCAAAACCAGCATTTCAGAATGGCTCAGGATCCTTATATTTGAAGCCTTTGGTACCCAGAGCTCATGTGCACTTGCTAAAAACTCCTCCAAAAGGTATGGTCTTTAGTATGGATAGAATGAGAGTAAGACATGTAGAGTCCTTGACTTGTAGGAAGTTAAAATTTGACAATTAGGTTTATGGTATATTTTGCATTAAAAAAAAAGGTATTGAATAAGGAGATAGAATACATTTGACACTGAGAGAGTTGTTCTTGTTATGAGATTTAGTAGGTTCTGTAAATAAAACCTGTTATATAAAAGTCCACAGGTAAAAGAAGGGTATAAGGTGAAAGTAGCAAAAGTTAAGAGTTAAATTATTGTAACACTCTAGAGCATGAGACATAAAGGAGTAGAAATTTGATTTGCTTTCTGTCTGTCAATGTTTCATGGTTATTAATTTCTTGTCTTTGTTCCAAGACCATGTTCATTTCTCTCTGCTCTTTATCTCTAATCTTTCCTATGTCACTCACTATAATTGCTATAGCTGCTAAGAATAATTCTTTGGGTTTATAGAACATGCTTATATATTCTTCACATGTATATACTTCACATGCAATGTTTTCACATAAGTTTCTCACAGTGGGTATAACACACATCAGAAGTCTTCCTTGTTCTAACAGTATTGGGCACATACTAACCACCTGATAAGTAATGGCTATTATTATGATTCAATAAAACAAACAGCACCAAGCTGTTTCATATGAGATAGGGAGGGGGAGATGGGAGGAATAGGGTAGGGAGGTGGGAGAGGAAGGAGGGGACACCGAGTTAGAAATGATGGTGGAATGTGGTGGACATCATTGTCCAAAGTACATGTATGAAGACACAAATAGTGTGAACATACTTTGTATACAACCAGAGATATGAACAATTGTGCTTTATATATGTAATACGAAATGTGACATTCCATTGTCATATATAACAAATCAGAAAAAAAGTCTTCTTTGTTCTTAGTGAATTGAAAGATTGCTTAACTGAAAGACTAAATGTAAATGAGAGAATCAACCCACAAAATGAGACCTGTTTTTATATTAGAGAATTTGGAAAACAGAAACATGAAAAGTCTTTGTTGATTCTGTCAGCCACCAATTACCATTACATTTCCTTCTAATTGTTTTCCTATATATATAAACAAGGTTTTGTTTTTGTTTCAACAATATCAAGATCATAGTGTATTCATCCTTTAGTATCTTGCTTTTTAGTAATTAATAGTATATTGTGAGAGTTTCTTTCACTTTTAATGGTGATGTACTTTCCATTCTATGGTGGTCTAGTTAGTTTATATTGGATAGTATCTGACTTCTATTGTGGTACATAATACTGAGATGAACATCTTTCAATATGAATCATTGCGCATTGTTTCAGATTCTAATGACTTCCTCCTGATATTCTTGAAAGGAGAATTACTAGGTTTAACTGTATGAATCTCTTTGTTAGTATGTATTTCTAAGTAACTTTCTAAAAAGAAGTTACTCTCTAACAGTAGTATGAGAGTATCCATTGCTCAGCATTCTGAACAGTTTAGTGTATTTGTGCATGTGTATGTATGTGTGTGTGTGTGTGTGTCTGTATGTATATATCTCCATGTATTCGTGTGTGTGTGTGATCATATGGTAACTTAAAG